CCCCCAGACCTTGACGTCGCGGTGTATGCCCGAGTGCCTGTGGATGTACTCCAGCGCCACCAGCACCTCGCGCATCACAGTGGCGATGACGGGCTCCTGCGAGCGGCCAGCAATGATGATGTCAAGCCTGTGACGCTCGCAGCTTGCCGCGCCGGCTGCTGGCCACCTCAGTCAAACCCCAGGTGTGCACAAGGCCGTCGATGCGGGTCTGGCCGGCAGCACTGGCTGCACTGCCCATGCAGCTGCCACCGGCCACCCTGGTGGCAGCTGCACAGTCAGGACACGCGCGCTGCGCGCTGCTGCTGACATCACCATGACTCACCAAAAGGCCGTCCTTGAAACGGTAGCGCATGATGTGAGCCACGGACCCGCCCTCCTGAGAGGCAGGAGAGGGGGTTGGGGGGGCTTTCAGCGCGACGGCTGGCTGCAGAGGGCCACATGTGTGCAACAGCGCAGTGGCGGAGCCAGCCGGGCTGCTGGGTGACAGCGCCTCCTCACAAACCAAACAAACAGCACTGGGGGTCGGCCGCAAAACAATGCTGGAGGTGGCAGCGCACCAAGCTTCCCCTCTTTTCAGTGCCACGGCCCGCCCCCCCCCCCACCCTGTCCCTCTCAGGGGCTGCAAGGAGCGCACCATGTAGGGCATGAGCATCCACAGCTCGTGGCCCGCCACGAAAGAGGTGTACAGCGGCAGGATGGCGGGACAGCGGTACGCACGCATCACGGCCACCTGGCGCGGGTGATGTTTGGGTGGGAGGGCGCGCGGCACACGCCCTCAGGTGCGAGCGGATGGCCGAGCTCGGAGCGCACACGTGCGCAGCTGCTTTTGCAGGCGCAGCTGGTTGAACGCGCCGACCTGTGGCCGCCACTGCCACTCGCTACAACTTTGGGGACACCAGGGCCCGCGCTTGCCCACAGCAGCTTGCTCCCATCGGCCCGCCTCCCCCCGTGGACGCCCGCGCACCCTCGGCTCCCCCCTCACCCAACCCCGCCGCACTGTGCCCGACGTGGCTGTCAACCGGCCCCCAAGGCGCCTGCTGCGGGAGCGCCCGGGCATCACCCCGACATCCCTCCCCCTCCCAAAAAAACAGAAAAGCGCCTCACCTCGCGCATGATGTCCTCGAGGGGGCTGCCCAGTGCCTCCAGGTTGAGTGCCTTGACTGCCACCAGTTCGCCACTGGCCTTGCAGCGCGCCAGGTACACGGTCGCGCTGATGGAGGGGGAGGCGTCGGGGACGGCAATTGCGGGGTATGCGCATGGGGCGCCGAGGCCGGCAGAGGGGGTGAGGTTGGGGTGACGCCAGGGGGTTGGCGGCGTGGGGCCGTTGGGCATGGCAGGTGGAGGGGAGCGCGGTGTGACCAAGGCGCCGAGCGTTGGCGGCAAGGACGCTGGGCTCGCGGCTGGGAAGGGGGGGGGGCGCGTGCAGTGAAGGCGCTGCTTTGGCCAACGCCAGCCGCTGTGGGGACGCGAGGGCGACGGCATTGAGGGCCAAAGGACGGCCGCAGGGCAACTGGCACTGGTTCGGCCGCCTCTCTGCGCAACAAGGTCTACAAGTCTTGCGCAGCTGCGCCGCACGTACGCAGCTGCACCTGCGCGAGCAGGGGCATCTGTGTCTCCGGGCATCTGAAGGGCCCTCTACCTCGGCTGCCCAGCACTGCTGCAGGCACCGCTATGCCACAAGAACTTTGCTTAAGCTCAATGAACCTCAACCGGCATGTGCGCGCACGTGCGCGCGCTCACACTACACACGCAACTCACACTGACCTCACACGCACGCAAATGCAGCTCGCCTCCCGCCCTCACCCCCCCCCACATACACACACACTCACAGGCACGCACGCACCTGACTCCAGCCCCGCAGTCGGCCACCAGCTCATAGTCCTCCTTCTTGGTGGGCCACACGCGCCCCGCGTCGCGCACCGCCGCTGCATCAGCCGCGGCTGCCGCTGCCGACGGCAAGCCACGCGACTTGAGCAGGGCGGCAAAGCTGCCCGTACTCTTCGACTGCCGCATTGTGCAGCCCCTGCGAGCGCGTGATTGGCGACTGCGTTGGCCCACCAGTCAGCTGGGCCGATCTTCCCCGCACGCGCATGCGTACGCGGCACACTCACACCCATGACCCATCAGGGCGTCGGGGCATGGCGGCCGTGGGTGCAAGAGGCCCGGCGCGGGCAAGCATATCATGAGGTCCCGCTGCTCCTTAATTTCATGCAAGCCCGGGCCACCGGGAAACGCCGCGGGCTGCATACATGTGCACACACCGCTCACCAGTGTGCTAGCGACCTGGACCGGGCATGATTATATCTTCAACTAAGTAACACAGACGTACGACGCCAAGGCGCTCCTCCACCTGACAGGGCGTGGTCTGGTGTGGCGATGTTGCAGGCGGGCCTACTTACGAGACCCTGCCGCTGAGGCCGACCCAGAGGTGGTCAAAAACCAGATGGCAATATGTCTACACAAGTTGCGAGCAGGCTGTCAACAATTCTCTTTCTCGTCGCCGCCTGCTCGTGCTGGTGTTCACTGTGCAGCAACAGTGGGGAAGCAGGTGATGGTGTGTCCGCGGCGCCGGGGAAGGAACAGCATGGCAGTTCGAGCAGCTCTGTGGCGCTGGTCCCGGCGCACGCTGTCAGCATGTGGTGTACATGCGTGGTGTACCTGCGGATCACAAATGCGTTCCTACACCGCGTGCCGAGCCCTCACCGCCGCGATTCGTGCGAGCCATGACCAGGCCGCCCTTGCCAGTCGCACCAGCGCTTGCCGCAAACCCCCAGCCGGCAGGGCAGTCCTCCCTCCGTCCTCAACAATGATGCGGGATGCGCGTGGCTGGGGCGCAAGTGCCTTCCTACCCAGCCTCCCTTGCCCCCCCAGCCACCCTGGCGGGCTGGCAATGGCAAGCCCTCTGCCCACAGCTCGCATGGGGAAACACGCCTGCGATCACAGTGTGTTGTGCACAAGCTGAGATTTCAGGGCACATCCGTCCTCTGCCTGCTAGATGATGGTGGGCCTGTAACAACAGGGCAGCCGTCTGCAGAAAGATGAAAAGAGAGGAGCAACACATCGCGCTGGTGAGCGGGGCAGACCCCTCACCGCTCTTCCCCCCACACCAAGAGCCGGAGGAGGTAAAGAAAATTTGGCGCGCCGCAATTGGTAAAGATGATGACTGTCGAATCCTGTGCCTGCGAATGGGACCCGTCCACTCTGGTGGGCGCGTGCGGCACAGTGGGGCACGCGGCCGGGCGGCAGGACAACTTAGGCGGTCGAACCCAAGGAGTGGATGGCATCTGTAAACGCCGCGGTTGGCAACAAGACGCTATAAGCTATTGCGCGGCACACCTTATTCTGCTTATGAAAGCAGGAGCCACAAGCAGGGAATTTTGTCGGGCTGCCAAGCGTTCAAGCTACGGCCCCACAGCGCCCCGGGCTGGTCAAAAAAGCGCGCCCCATGCGGCTGTGAGCGCGGCAGCACACACGCATGGCGCTGTGCAGCGTGCGTGCTCGATGCCTCCAGCACAACGGCAGAAAAGGGGCAGAGTGTGTTAGCTCGTCACCGGCCTGTCTCACCGGGCTGGCGCACCGCCCAAGCCCCACGCGCTGTGTGCTGCGAGGTGCCAGGGCCGCGCAGGTCACCGCCAAGGGGATGAAGGTCAGGCTGCTGCTGCGCACCTGCGCGAGCAGCAGCGGCCAGCGCGGCACTAGCCCCTGTCGCTGACGGGACTACCGGGGGTGGCGGTGCTTGCGCTTTGCGACTTGCAGGTGCGAGAAACGCAAACGGTTGGGGCCGAGTGGTGCGGCACCTTTGTGTGTGCAAGCGTCATGATGGTTAGGTGCGGCTGGTGTTGAGAATGGTAAAGTGGCAGGAAGCAAGGTCAGGGCACCCGCGGCGCCCGCGAGGCAGGGGAGGGTGGGGCCACGCGCCAGCTGTGCGGCCATCAGCACAGAGCTGTGCCCACCCGTAAGCTGCAGTTGCCGGTTGCACCGCTTGATTGCAGACCCGACATACGGGCAAATGTGTTGCCGCAATGCTGCCATGCTGGAGCAGCGCATTGTGGAGGCTCTGCTGCCGCTGCCGGTGCTGCCGCTTCCGGTGCTGCCGCTGCCGGTGCTGCCGCCGCCGGTGCTGCCACTGCCGGTGCTGCTGCTGCCGCCGCTGCCGCTGCCGCTGCTGCCGCCGCTGCTGTGGGTGCCGCTGCTGCTGCCGGCTGCTGCTGCTGCTGCTGCTGCTGCTGCTGCTGCTGCTGCTGCCAACAATGCTCACAGCGTTGGCTGTGCGTTTCAAAGGAGCAGGGCCTTCTGCACGGCCTTCTGCCACGGCTGCTGGTGCGGGCGCGGCGGCGTTGCGGGCAACGTGGCATTCGGCAACCAGCCCGCGGCGGTCATTTGTTGGGCCCATTGCAGCGCGTGTCGTCGTCCGGGGAGTCCAGCAGCTCGCAGGGCGGGGTGCAGATCGCCGTGGCGGGGTCCTCGTCGGCGCAGAAGCTGGGGTGGGAGAGGGGGCCGTTCGGTGGACGCTCGGCGTCATGTTGAGCCAGAGTGGGGACGCTGGGTGAGCATAAGCACCAGCAGCAGCGACTGTCCAGGTCGCCCCGCCCTGCCAGAACAGCAGTCGCCCGGCTCCAACATGGCAGCGCTGGAAAACAGGTCCGCCGACGCTAGCAATGATGAACCGTGGCCGCGGCATGCACATGCATTGACGTCATTTGCGAACGTGCATGTGCGTGCTGCTGCGCTCACTCCTGCATCTTGTCGCATTCTGGCGGCGACTCCGGGACCTCGGGGGGCAGGTGGTCACACCAGTAGACAAAGCACTCTGGCCGCGCCGTGTTTCCCGGCTTTTCACAGTACTCACTGTAATCTGCAGAAAGGAAGAGGAGGGAGGGGGCAGGCGGGGATTGTGCATCAGCGTACTGTCTGCATTGTCTCATGGGGGGTACAGGGGGGGAGGGGAGGAGCCGGATGTGTCGGGGTTGTCACGGTGACATTGTGAAAGGGTGTAGATACGCGTGTGGGATGTAGTTGAGCGCTTGAGGGCGACAGGCTGGGGCCATGTGTTGGGATCTGCCGGCCTTTGGACGAGGGGTTCTACTGCTTTGAGGGGTGGGCTGGCTTGCACTGCTGATCGGGGCGGCCGGGGCAGGGCCCAGTCAGGGGGTGGCACGTGCGCAGCTCGTTGAGTCCAACGAATGTCCCGCAGCGAGCGTCCCTAGCCTGCTCGCGGCTCGCACAGCCGCTGGCCAGGAAAAAATACGGCAGCCTTGAAACCAGATCCCACGCCACTGCCCGAGCCGCTGCTGCGCGGGCGTGTTCCCATCCTCGGCGCATGCGCTTGCTGTCCAGAGCGCGCGCGCCCATAAACTCGCCCACGCACCTGGCACAAAGGGCAGAGGCGTCCTGTCCCATTTCCGATTCAGATATGCCGGCCCCGCGGGCGGCGGCGGCAACGGCGGAGGCGGCGGCGGCATAGGCGGGGGCGGTGGCGGCGGCGAGGGCACCGCGACTGGCGCCACAACCACCGGCACAAAGACGGGGCCAGGGACTGATGGGACAAAGACAGGCGGCGGGGGCGGCGGCGGAGGCGACGGAGGCGGCGGCGACGGCGGCGGCGGCGGCGGCGACGCTGCAGGCGCCCCGGGCGGCGGCGCTGGGGCAGGGGGCGGCGGCGGCGGCGAGGCTGCCGCCGGTGCTGGGGCCAGCACTGGAGACGGCGATGGGGAGGGCGTGACCGGGTCCAGCAGCAATGGCGCAGCAGGCGCCACCGCCGGCACTGCCGCCGCGGGCGGCGGCGGCGGAGGGGGTGCTGAGACCACGAGCGTCCCCGTCTCGCTGCCGCTCATGGGCTGCGCGCCGCCATCCGTGACTGTCAGCCGCACCTCCCACCGGCCGGCGGGCACCTCCAGGGTCGCGGTCACGCCGTCCGCGCTCAGCTGAGAGCCGGTGGGCGGGTCAAGCTGCCGCAGGGCCCAGGCGTACCGCACGAGCGTCGTGCCCCAAATGGGGGTCGATTTCGAGCCTGCGGGCACGGATTGTGTGCGCATGGATTGGTGCCGTGCCTCGGCGTCTGACAAACAGAATGCCAAGCGGCCGCAAAGCACCGGGGTGCGGCCACTCGCACCCACATAGCAGGCTGGTGCATATTAAGAACCCGTGCGCTGTGTGGGCAGGTACAGAGACACACAAAAACTATAACGTTCACGCGTCTGTGAGGGCAGGCGCAAGGGCGACGCAAGTCGCCGCTCCGCTCCTCGTTGCCCGGCCCCCGCTCACCGTCCAGCACCACGGTCGCCTTGTTGGTTCCGTTCTTGACGGTCACATTGGCGTCCATCGTGATCACGGCCGTGTGCGACAGGAGCGAACTGAACGCCTGCAGGGCCGCCGCCGAGTTTTGGTCCGTTGTAACATTGCTGACGGTCGGCGCCGGCGATGAGGTTTGGTATATCCGCATCGCCGCCAGCATCCGCCGCGACGGCCCGGGCACCTGTGGCTGTGCAGCTGGGGTGCCCCGCGCGCTTGCGGCGTGCGCGCCGCTGCGGGGGTCGGCAGGGCGGGTTGCGTCGCAGGCAGCGGCTTTTCAGCCGGTGAGTTGCTGAATACTCTGCACTCCTACCCTCAAGGGCTGCTTGGGCTGGTACAATGTTGCAACATCAGCCCGTTCCTCCCGCGAGTCACACCCCCGCGCCAGGCACCGGCCACACTCACGGTGCGAGTGATGGCCAGCCACAGAGAAGGCATAAGAGAGCCGTTGCAGCAAAAAATAGGGTCGGCAACACCCGGTGGCCGGCATGTTGGCTGCGCCAAGCTTCCTCTCCTGCCCGCCCGCGCCTCCCCGCAGGGTGGGGCGAGATTTTCTTGTTCATCTAGATTTACTAAGCGACGATGAAATGGGGCGTGGGGACGGGAAGCCTCGCATCACCGGCTGGCCACTGCCGCCTCCACCAGCTTGCAGCAAAACTTCGCCGCAGTCTGGGTGTAGTTTGGAGGACACGCCATGCCAGGCAAAGAGGTTGTTGATTGCACGGCTGAAGTATGAACAAGACAGCTTGTGGGTCCACGGTATCAACCAGTGCCGTGCTGTAGCCGGGCGAGACTGCTCGCCTGCTGCACTGCCTGCTGGCCCGCTGCCAACAGGCCCACGTAGCGACCAAACGGCCTGGGCGGCGCCCTACCCCCACCCTGCCAGCCATCTTGTTTGCCTGAGCACCGAGCTGCCCCCCATTCCAGCAAATGGTGGCTCAATCCGGCGTGACTGTTGACCGGGGGAAGCAGCAAGCAGCTTGGGAGGCGGAGCCAGTGGGGCACTGCCGAATGCAGCATGCCGCGTCTTGCGCGCATCACTGCTGCTGAGACACGCGTGCATGACACATGCACATGTGTATGCGTGCGTCACGGAGGCCGTGGCTGTGGTGGTGTTATGTTGGCGAGTGCGTCGCCAACAGCGTCGCATGCGCATGCGAGCGCCGCGTGGCATGGCTGTCATGTGTGTGCCGATGGTCATGAAGGATGGCAGCACGCAGTGTCCGGCAGTTGCTTCCTGAGTGGTACACCCCTCCTGGCCCGCCGCTCACGCCTCCACCAGGTCCAAACCCCTGGACTTCTGCGGCTTGCTGTTCCATTACTCTCCCCAGCAGCCATGCGTGTACCCGGTGATGAGTTTTCGATAAAACTTGATCGAGCTCCTGCTGATGCTGAGCAGCAAAGAGGCGCGCTGCACTAGCGGCGCCACCAGGCACCAGCCAGCCGTACAGGCCCAACTTGGCACTGAGAAGCCACGCCCAACGCAAGAAGGGCGCTGCTGAGGTTGTCAGTTGAGCTGCCGGTCGGGTCGGTTGCTTGCATGAGCTCAGATTACACACTTCGGTATTTGGTAGCTCTACGGGAGAGTCTCTCGACGTCACGAGTAGCGATCTGCGGTAGTAATCTTTGTCGACCATATCACCGATCGCGCAGCCTGCCGTGTGGCGACTAGCTATCATCATGGCTTTAAGACAGTGCTTCGCGACCGCGCTGCGCGCCTTTGGCATCGCTGAGCTGCAGTGCGCGGCAGCCGCGGTTGCGACCAGGCACGCTGCCGCACCAAGCATAATCACCGCACCATCCTGCAGCTGCCCATACAGCACGGCAGCCGGCCCTGAGAATGAAGCTGAGCGCAGGAAGGTGTGTCGCAACAGCAGTTGTGTGCAAGACGTGACGCACCGTCCAGAGCTTGCATGCGCCGTCCCCTGGCCCACGCTCTCCGGGACCCCGGGCCCCTCCTTCACGACAGCACAAGCGCCCAGCACTCTTCAAAAACAGACACATGCGTGATGCAGAAAACTCTTGCACACTCCACAGCCCATTGGCTTTGCTCACGCTGGCAGAGTCACAAGCACATCCCCGGCCCTTCGCCTTCCCATGGCCCACCATGGCGCCCGCCCATTTCTCCCCCCCCATCCTCCTCCAAAAACAAACCTCGACCCCTCTTCCCCCAACACCAAACTTGGACATCTCTCCTCTTAAAAACAAGCGTGCACCCCTCCACACCCCCCCCTGCCCCCCAAAAGCTGGCGTCCAAGCTGCTGTACCGCTCCAAGCAGCGCGGCTTCCTGGAGCTGGACCTGCTGGTGGGGCTGTGGGCGGAGGAGAAGCTGCCGATGATGACGATAGCCGCACTCACAGAGTTTGGGGCCGTCCTCGACGAGGTGCGTGCGGGGGTGCCGGCGGGGGTCCAGCGCGGAGCTTGCAGGGGTCTCAGATAGCTTGCGGCAGTTTCAGGGAGGCTGCGGCGATGTCGCTGCGTCGGGGCTGGGCGAGGGACGCGCCTGGGATCCAAAGGGGATGGCGCATGCGGTGGCATGGGGGTAAAGCGACGGCGGAGACGGCGACGAGTGGCGGTTGCGACAGGGGCAAGGGTTGACGTTGGTGGCGGGGC